GAATAAATAAATAAATCAATGAAACTTCACCAGGGTGGCACCTCAGTTTTCAGTATGTGTGGAGCTGTTCCTAGCATTCCATCCTGCATTCTTCTTTGATCCAGAGCTGATCCCTAGCTTGGTAACAATGGTAGAACGGGCAACATGCTGGGTTGTGAGCTTACAGACTATGGTTGTATACAGTTATGGTGTTACTGATAGCCCACAGTGTCTCACAGTGTCTTAAGCTGCTGCTTCTGTTCAAAGTCTATTCCCCATTCAGCAGAATGGTAGTGCCACACAACATAGTGGAGTATTTCCTCAATGTGAATTGGGGACTTAGTCTCCACAAGGGGTGGGCAGTGGTCACTCCTATCAATATGGTCATGGACAGATGCATCGTCTACATGGAGACTAGTGAGGATGAGTTCAAGTATATCTTTCCCTTTTGTTGGTTCCTCACCACCCGCTGCAGATCCAGTCTAGCAGCTATGTACTTTAGGACTCAGTCAGCTTAGTCAGTAGTGCTGCTATTTGTGGTGAACACGGAAGACCCCACCCAAAATATCTTCTTTTTTTACTTCAAAAACATACTTTATTCATAAAAATATCTTTTTTTTTTAAACAGAGTCACTGAAGCAGTTCGGTTCTGACAGTAGCAAATGAAGAAACAAGCAAACATTGGTCAAAGGTGCTTTTCTTTGCAAGTTTCTCCATGAAGGACAGGTGATGTGAAACAGTCCAACTACTTGGAGTGTTCTGCAGGAATGAGGCCAGTCCCATCCTTCAGAACACCAGAGACAGGCAGAACCTCAGTACGTACCTTCCCAAACATATCCCCAGCACCTTCAAGTAATCTGTGCTAAAGGTGAAGGGGATAAAGGATCGGTCGGCCCAGTTCCCAAAGAACATGGTCCTGCTCTTGCCTTGATTTACCTTGGCTCCTGAGACCAGTTTGAATTGGTCACAGATGCTCATGAGTCTGTCCATTGACAGCGGATCTGAGCAGAATACAGCGACATCATCCATGTACAGGGAGGGTCTGAGCTGCAGGCCTCCACTGCTGGAATAGTCCCCCTTCTCAGGCTCACATCCTTCCTGATGGATTCAGTAAAAGGCTCCAGACAACACACAAACGAGGCAGGAGGGAGTTGACAGCCCTGTGTGACCCCAGATCTGATTGGGAAGCTTTCTGATTCCCACCCATTGATTGAGGCTGCGCTAACGATGTTGGTGTAGAGCAGTCGGATCCAATTGTGGATTCCCTCCACAAAGCCTATTTCGGAGAGCACATTCCAAATGTAGGTATGTGGTATCCTGTCAAAGGTCTTCTCCTGGTCCAGGCTGATGAGTCAGGCGTCCAGCCCCCTCTTCTGCACGTAGATGATCATATCCCTGAGGAGCGCAAGGCTCTCAGAGATTGCCCTGCCCGGTACAGTGCAGGTTTGGCCGGGTAAATCACTGATGAGCTTAGACAGGATTTTGGAATCTGCATTCTGCAGTGAAATTGGTCGCCAATTTCTAATTTCCCCCCTCTCCCCCTTCTGCTTGTAGGTGAAAGTGATGATACCTTTCCTCATGGATTCGCTTATGCTACCTGCCAGAAACACACTGTTATACACTTCCAGCAGGTCTTGACCCATCAAGTCCCACAGGGCTGAACACAACTCAGCTGGTAAGCCATCGTTTCTGGGAGTTTTATTCTTTTCTAATGCCTCGAGAGTCTTGGTCAGCTCAACCAGAAATAACGGATGGTCCAGCCACTCCCGCATGCTGTTGTCTAAGACCTCCATGACAGAGGACTGGAATGACCAGGAGGCTGCACGCTCTGTGGGCTTCGTGTCATACAGTCTGGCATAAAAGGATTTGTTGATCCTCAGGATGTCAGGCTGAAGTGACGTTACTGAGTTGTTTTCTTCCTTCAGTCTGGTGAGCAAGAGCTCTTCCTGTGCACCTTCTGGAAGAAGAAATATAAGCACATCTCATCCTGCTCCATGGAGCGGATCCTGGATCAGAAAATTATCTTGGAGGCCTCATTGGCAAAGAGTAAGGCTTGCTGGATCTTCACCTCTTAGAGATCCTCCGTGATATCGACCCCCATCGTCTGCAGCAGGAGTTGGTTCTGCGTGTTTTTCTGGAGTTTGGACAGTTTCCCCTGTCTCTCTCTCTCTCTCACTCTCTCTCTCTCACCTTCTGAACATCTTTGAGGATAAAGAACCTCTTGTTATTTCCCTTGACTGTTTCCCACCAGTCCAATGGAGACTCAAAGAGGGCTCCACGGTTCTCCAACCTGTGTAATCCCTCAATCTTTTCTGGGGTCAACAGTTTCCCACTCAGCTTCCACATTCCCTTGCCAACACGCTGGTCATCCTGTAGGTGATTGTCGGCCAGCAGGGGGCAGTGGTCAGAGAAGAATACCAGCTTGACATTGATGGATCGGACCGAGAATGTGTGGGACACAAATAGGAAAATCTATTCCCCAACCAGAGTACTTTCTATGCCCTTACCACCCTCAGTATATCCTCTAAGTGGTGTTCAAAGGACTGATGCTATATCTTTCAGAATACCTTCCCCTCCCCCCTTTTCGTTGCTTTCGCTGCCAAATTCTAATGCAGAATTTAATGCTGTTGCCATTACAGTTAAACAGGGCATCTGTCATCTTGGCAATGAGCCAGGGAACTACAGACTGAAAGCAGGTTATGATTGAGTGACTTCTATTATTGCTAGAACCAGATAATGTTGCTCAATGATAGCTGATTTGCATCCAGGCAATTGCAAATTTCATCAGCACTTTCCTTGGAAAGATTTAATCTCCTTTCCCATGTGGGATCAAGCTAATTCAGTTATCTCTGATACTGATTCCCTGGATGACAAATGTGTGCTGGTGATTGCCTTTTCTTACATATTGATGTGCCTTGCCACACTTCCTCCTGCTTCATCACCACTACAGTACAGTTTCCTTATTTATGTATGATACTGGATGGAACAAAACAGGTGAGTAGCTCCTTTCAATGCCCACTACCCTGTTGTGTGCTAGTCATACAGTCATAGAGTCACACAGCGTGGAAACAGATTCTTTGGTCTAACTAATCCATGCTGACCAGGTTTCTCAAGCTAAATTAGTTCCTCTTACCTCCGTTGGGCCCATATCCCACTAAATCTTTCCTATTCATGTACCTATCCAAATATCTTTAAAATGCTGTAACTGTACCTGCATCTATCACTTCCTCTGGAAGTTCATTCCCCATACAACCCGCCCTCTGTGTCAAAAAGCACCCTCTCAGATCCCATTCCCCTCTCATCTTATAAATAAGCCCCATAGTTTTGAACTGCCCCACTCTTGGGAAAAGACTATTCACTTTATCTGTGCTCCTCATGATTTTAGAAACTTCTGTAAGGTTATCCCTCAACCTCCTATGCTCCAGTGGAATAATGTCCCAGCCTATCCTTATAACGCAAATTCCCAGCAACATCCTGGTAAATCTTTTCTTAATCCTCTCCAATTTACTGATACCCTTCCAATAGCAGGGTGACCAAAACTGAACACAGTACTCTAAAAAGTGGCCTCACCAATGTCCTGTACAACCTCAACATGACGTCCCAACTCCTAAACTCAATGATCTAAACAACAAAGGCAAGCATGCTAAACGCCTTCCTAACCACCCTGTCTACCTGTGATGCAACTTTTAAAGAATTATGTACTTGAACCCCTAGCTCTCACTGTTCGACAACACTACTCAGGGCCCTACCACTAACTGTATTACCAAAATGCAACATCTCCCATTTATCCAAATTAAACTCTGTCTACCACACCTCAGCCCATTGGTCCAACGTATCAAGATCTCTTTGTAATCTTAAATAATTTGCTGTCGACTATACCACCAATTTATTCTTCACAGTCTTAATCTCACTTTAATACTACTTGCCATTGCGGCAATATGAGCTCGGAAACAAGTTTGAGCAAATTTGTTCTTTAGAATGTAAGATCACAAGAACTAGGAGCAGGAGTAGGCAATTTAGCCCTTTGAGTCTGCTCTGACATTTGAAATGATCATGGCTGATCTCATTTTGGCCTCAACTCCACTTTCCTGCCTGCTCTCTAAAACGCTTCAACCGATTACTCCTTTAAAATAACTGTCCACGTCCTCCTTAAATTTACTCAGTCTCCCAACATTCTCCCTCACTCTGTGACAGATTCACAACTATTCAAGTGAATCAATTTCTCCTCATCTCTGTTTTAAATTCATTACCTCTTATCCTAAAACTATGACTTCTCATTCTGGATTGCCCCACATGTGGAAACATCCTCTTTACGTCTACTCTGTCAATCACCATTAGTATCGTATATACCTAAAAAGATCTCCTTTCATTCTTCTAAATTCCTGAGAGTATAGGCCAAAGCTGCTCAATAAGACAAACCCTTCAACTCTAGAATCAATCTATTGAAGCTCCTCTGAGCTGTCTCCAATGCAATTACATCTCTCCTCAAGTAAGGCGAGCAAAATTGTACACAATACTCCAGGTGCATTCTCACATTTGAGTTGCCATGGCAACTTTCACTTTTATGTGCTCACTGCAGCCTGGAGTTTGGGAAATGATGGTTGAAGCTCCAATTTCTTTCCATCACATGACGGACCAGGAATGACTTTCATGGTGTTAGAAACATTTACAAGTTGATACTCAGTGCTTTTCGCTGTATTATGAACACAGTTCATCAAGTCCTGGAGTGAACCTTGAACCCAGATGTTCTGCCTCAGGAGCAGGGACATTACCTATGGCACAACAGGCTTCCTTTGATATCCATTAAACAGACTCAATTAAAAAACAGATGTGCTGGAGGTGGAGGTGGACCGAAGATTGTGAACGTTGAGTTATAGAAACAAAGTGGTGTAAACAATTTGTACATGTATTTGATCTAATACAGAATAATTTGACCTCTGAATGGAATCGCTGTTCAGTTTATATAATAAGTCTTGAAATAATAAAGGTTAGAACCTGTTAAAGATGTCAAAACGTAATACCTTGCTTTGTCGTTTTGACCGCTGTATCACTTCATGGTATCGTATTCTGGTAAAAGTCACCTAAAACGAAATTTTATTTAGACAGGAATGAAACTGAAAAGGTGTTTGCTCAATTCACCCCAATCTACATTAGATCACAAACAAATGTACAGAGTTTGAGAATTGACACATATCTCACCATGGTGTATAAAGGCACAATAGTCCTTGGCATACAGTAATGGAGGAAATTATCCACGTGTTTGCGGAAAATAAACCATTTTGAGTTCACATGCTTACGCATCTGAAAATAGATATGTAAAAATTAATACTTTTTGAAAAGTCTTTGCAAGCTTATCGAACCAAAAATTGGAATAAATTGCTGCATGTTAATGAGTATTATAAATTACAGCATGAAGAAAAGATCAGTTGTTCACGATAGATTCCAGACATGAAGGCAGAAGTATTAACTGAACTTAATCTAATTTTGCTGGAAAAATGCAAATACTATTTTCTCAAGAAACTAAATGGAGACGGTTGGCACCATATAATCAGTAGAATACTCAAGACCATTGAAAAAAAATGAGCTTTGAACCAAAATTGGATTTAAATGGATTTCTATTGGTGTCTTTGTAGTTACATTGCAAATTAATTGGATTTTTTCTACTGACATGCATTGAACAGGACTGCATTCGAAATAATGTAACTTAGATTTTGTCAACATCAATGGCCACTCAAACTATTTTGATAATCTCCAGAGTAGTAAATGAACAATGAAAACTCAAATAGTTACAGCACAGATGGGAAGCAATTTGGCTTGTTAGGTCTATGTTAACTCTCTGCAACAACTGCTCATTTAGTCCTACTTCCCTACGTTTTCCTCATGGTCGCACCAATTATTTTGTCTTCAAATAATTGTCCAATTTTCTTTTGAAAGCAGCATTTGAATTTGCCTTCACCACATTGAAGCAGCGCATTCCAGTTCTTAATTACTTATAGCATAAAAAGTTCCTCTGTGAATACTGTAGCTGCATTAAGTCATTCCATAAAAAAAGTCAGAAATTTAAAAATAGATCTAGAGAATTTCAGGATAGATTGAGCTGGTGAAATACTAAAAAATGTCAAAGACAATTTTGAGGGCTCCATTCCAGTTATAAACTGGGTGTTATCAGTATCTTACCTCAAGCATTTACTTTCATTTGCTACAGCCACTGTACACTGGTGGGAAAGTGTGTACCATCTATGAGGTGGCTGCAGTACCTTACCACAACTTCTTAATAGCACTATCCAGAACTGCTAACATCCAAAAGGAGAGGACAATAGACACACAGAAACACCATCACCTACAAATTACCCTTCTGTTACGGCTGCCCGTGACTGAGCAGCACAAAATGGCCAACAGTTACCCATGGCATTACAGCATAACATGGCTGACAATAGTTAGACAGCTTGGGAAAATATTTGATTAATGTGGACTCCACAAGTAGGGCAATAATAGTTCTATGGATTCAAGGTAACAGAATGTGCAGCTGTAGTTGCTTACATAAAAGACATGAGATAAGAACATTTTGTACTAAATTTAATTAATACATTTCTCTTTAATTATTCAATTAATCTGTTCCAATACCAATAGTTGGTTTTATTTAAGATCCTTTAAATAATCATGCATGTAGATGCAGAAATAGATTCACCTACGTACCAAAAATCACTGAAAGCATTGGAGGAGAAGATTCAAATAAAAATTATGAGAACAAACCAGTCTCAGACAGTAAAAGCAGCCCCATATCAGGGAGAACTGAATCATAGTGCAAAAGCTAGCAGACATTGGAATGTGGATTAAACAAATATATTGTAAGACACCCAAGGATAAAAGATAAGGGAGTCCCGTAAACACGATGAGAAAGACACTGTTCACAACTCATTAGCTAAAGAATTCTAACATTGGGCATAACTGTTGGAACTGATATTATAACAATTAGTAAAAAATCAATGCCCTTTAGTAGCCTGTAACGAGGTTAATAAATAATATAAACTGTATAACAGAATTTAAATCTTTAAGTGAAAGGCAAGTATTCAATTAATTGACAGTAAACAAAGTGCAGCTGACAAATGTACTTGAAGGAATGTATTTGAATACAGTATCCATTGTGAAAATATGGGAGATAAGAGAGTCATCATGACATCACGGAAGGCCGGGGTTGACCACAAGCCTGTCCATCTTGAGCTGTGCAGTCATATGATCAACTTAATTGGAAATGTATGTAATTAATTAATAATGATTGCTTTGTAATTGTTAAATGTATAAATATCTATGTTTTCCTTTGTTTGGGCAGAGCTCTCTGGATTTTCAGAGGGTTTCTTCCCACCGGTGTAATTTCACTAAACTCATTGATGCTGGAATTGAACTCCTGGGTGTCGAGTGAATCATTTGGTCATTCCAGCTCAACACTTCCAAGTCACATACCAGCCAGTCTTGGAAATATATCGCTGTTCCTTCACTGCCACTGGGTTAAAATCAGAAACTCCCAAATAACAGTACTGTGAAAGCAATGGCAATTAGAGATAGGCAACAAGCACTCGCCTGGTCAACAATAGCCACATCTCATTAACAGAAAATTACATTGGTATTCTGGCTGTTTGGTTAGAGTCCTGAGATTCGTGGCCAAAGTTACTCCCATTTCAGGCAGTAGTCCCATCGTAATATATTGGACCCAGAGTATGGTTTCGAATGGATGCTGCCTTTGCAGCACACAATCCATACTTTTATACTAGGTATTAGATCAGCCCAATTACTGGAGCACCACTCAGAAGGTGGCTCAGAAATTTTAAAAGCATAGCAAGACCATGTTGAGGAGAATTGCTCTTCTTGGCCTGTTGTTTGGTTTAGCATGGTAATTAGCTTATTCCTGGCTATCCTATAACTTGTAGGCTGTAGTAGTGTGCCATCTGGGTGTACCCAAGTTATTGGATGCAGTAAATGAACCCCAGACTTCCAAGCAGCACTCAAGCTTCTACAAAAATCATCCTGTTATCTTAAATGCGTCTCTGGGCCTCATTCACATTTTTATGGTTGTGCGCTGATGACAAATTTGAGACTGAACTTTGTCCTCTCATTTTTTTGTTGCCCCCCCAAAATAATGCAATAAAATGTAATGGGAAGCATTTATTCGTCCAACCTCCAGAAAACAAATACATTGGAAGTTGTTCTTTTAAACACTTTGTCTACACCTGTCAACTACCTGGAATATAACAATTAAAATCAGGAGCTCATTGTGCAGATGACTATAAATGTTCATTCGCTCCTCTCAGATGCACCGAGAAATGTTAGTTGAAATTAGCTTTAGAAAATATAAATCTGTGACAGTATAAAATACTCTTGACTTTAACAAGGAATCGTGTTATTAAATTAAAAGATTGACCATTATTTTATGTCTTTGTAAATGTTTCCCACATACCTCCACGTAGTTGTACATAGCCAGATCAGCAATAGCCTGGCAATCTGGTACACGCAACCTTGAAAACTCTGGAAGACACTTACCTACAATGTAGAAATATTTACAGAATTAGATTTGTGAAGGATATTAACTTTCTATGTAGACGAGTGAGCTGCTCAACTGACAAAATAATTTGCCAATTTGAACATGAAAGTGCGCAATTAAAAAAATCATCATGCAGTGGTTCATCCAAGTTCCTAAATAATCCTGTTGCTATGTTTTAATTCGTGCTTGTGACTGGGAGCAGATATTAAAACTCCTCACAATAAAAGATGTGGCATAACACATTTTTTTTTATAAAAGAGTTTAGATTTTAAACTTGTGGGATATGGTCTGTTGGGGTGAAAGGGGTTAATAGTTAGTTAGGTCAGTCTTTTCAAAACCATGACTTTAAACCAATATGTGTCGGACAGCAATACTAAATAAAAACTGAATGAACTGCAGATGCTTTAAACCAAAAACAAAAACATAAATTGCTGGAAAAGTTCATCAGAACTAGCAGAATCAGTGGAGAGAAATTGTTTAACTAGTGTAAAGTGCCAGAGGAATCGCAGATGTAAGTGGGCAAGGACTTCTCTCCACAGATGCTGCCAAACCTGCTGAGCTTTTCGAGCAATTTCTGTTTTTGCGTCAGATAGCAGATGGATGCAGGCCTCCTGAGTGCAAATGGAAGTTTGTTCATATTGTGGAGGTTACAACAGGATAGGACCATAGTAAAGCTGCAAGCTCAGCAAATGCCAGGACAGGCAAGCTTTGTCTATTTCTTTAAAAAGCTTTTGCATTCAGTTTGAAACAGATCTGACAGAAGTTATAGGCAATAATCGAAGTGGAAGTTTGTTCAGAGCGATTAACGGATTAAGATACGTCAGTGTGATGGTTGTAGTTGTTGAAAACTTCCAGATGACTGATTGGACCAAAAGGTCTGTTCCCATGCCATATGACTCTATGACTAGAACCATTCGATTAGAAATTGGTCATTCAAAGCTGAAAAAATCTAGGATCTCAGTCATGTGAAAGAAAAAGAATGTTTGCTTAAAGCATGGGAGCGAAACAAAATTAAATCAAAATTACAGATTTAGTAGGGAAGGAAACATTCTCTGGATTTTGATTAATTATAGGTGGGAATTTGTTTTCATAGTGATTGGAACCAGGTGGATCTTGTTGACTACGAGATCCTTGATTGGATTTGTTAACCTGGGCCAATCAGGGAGCCCTGGCTGACCAATATAAACAGGAGATTTAGAATCACCTCAGTTAAGGGGACTGACTCTGAGCTGATTGGCCACATTCAGTTTACTCAGCACAAGTAAGTAAAGGGTGACTTGGTGACAGGATACCAGCCCCTGTGCAGTTATTTCAGTTTCTCTGGGTGTTTGACATATATTAAACTGTGTTATATGTAGATAGCTTAGCTTAGTTTGTTTTGTTTTCTTTTATAACACACTTTGTTTTACTGTTAAAACTAAATCTGGGACCAGGTGTGCCTATATATTGGTGAAAAACCACCATTTTAAATTAAAATGAAAGAACAAGATATGCTTGATCAAACCAGATTTTATTATCTAACGTGCACACTAGTAACATCAGCTGGGATCAAAACATGCCTCTAACATCATTAAATACTGTCACAAGTAGAAAAAATGACTAGGACTTAATGGGAGCAACTGAGGTCTTCTTCTGTGGGAGTCTGTATCATTTTTCTGTGAGAGTTTAGACTCTATTTAATTCCAATCAGGCACTTTGATTTTAATATATATTAACATTTTGAACATAAATGTGGGAGGTGTAATTGGGAAGTTTGTAGAATGCACACAAATTGGCTGGATGGTTGATAGTGAAGCTGTCAACTTTGGATCAATATTGATGGTTTGGTCAAAGACAGGAAAAGTGGCAAATGGATTCAATATGGAGAAGTGTGAGGTAATGCATTTGAGGGAGAAACAAAGTTAAGGAATATGCAATAAACAGGAAGGTACTGAGAGGTGTAGAGGGAGTACATGTCTGCAGGCTCTTGAAGGTAGTATGAACAACAGTTAAGGTGGCAAAGAATGCACATGGAATGCTATCCTTTATTGGATGATATATAGAACACAAAAGCAGGGATACAACAGTGCTGGTTAGGTCACAGCTGTAATTTTATGTACACTGCATTACAGAAAAGGACATTATTGCTTTGGAAAGAGTACAGAGGATATTTACAAAAACATTGCTAGGGCTTGAAAATTACAGCCATGAGCAAAGATAGAATAGGTTGGGATAGTAGGAACTGCAGATGCTGGAGAATCCGAGACAACAAGGTGCAGGGCTGGATGAACACAGCAGGCCAAGCAGCATCATAGGAGCAGAAAGGCTGACGTTTCGGCCCTAGACCCTTCATCGGAAAAGGGGGAGGGTAAGGGGGTTCTGAAATAAATAGGGAGAGAGTGGGAGGCGGATAGAAGATGGATAGAGGAGAGGATAGGTGGAGAGGAAACAAACAGGTCGAAGAGGCGGGGATGGAGCCAGGAAAGTTGAGTGTAGGTGGGGAGTTAGGGAGGGGATAGGTCAGTCCAGGGAGGATGGACAGGTCAAGGGGCGGGATGAGGTTAGTCGGTAGGAGATGGGGGTGCGGCTTGAGGTGGGAGGAAGAACAGGTTAGGGAGGCGGGGACGAGCTGGACTGGTTTTGGGATGTGGTAGGGGAAGGGGAGATTTTGAAGCTTGTGAAATCCACATTGATATCATTGGGCTGCAGGGTTCCCAAGCGGAATATGAGTTGCTGTTCCTGCAACCTTCGGGTGGCATCGTTGTGGCACTGCAGGAGGCCCAGGATGGACATGTCGTCTGAGGAATGGGAGGGGGAGTTGAAATGGTTCGCGACTGGGAGGTGCAGTTGTTTATTGCGAACCGAGCGTAGGTGTTCTGCAAAGCGGTCCCTGAGTCTCCGCTTGGTTTCCCCGATGTAGAGGAAGCCACACCGGGTACAGCGGATGTAGTATACCACATTGGCAGATGTGCAGGTGAACATCTGCTTGATGTGGAACGTCTTCCTGGGGCCTGGGATGGGGGTGAGGGAGGAGGTATGGGGGCAGGTGTAGCACTTCCTGCGGTTGCAGGGAAAAGTGCCGGGTGTGGTGGAGCGGACAAGGGAGTCACGGAGAGAGTGGTCCCTCCAGAAAGCAGATAAGGGTGGGGAGGGAAAGATGTCTTTGGTGGTGGGGTCGGATTGCAGATGGCGGAAGTGTCGGAGGATGATGCGTTGGATCCGGAGGTTGGTGGGGTGGTACGTGAGGACGAGGGGTATTCTGTTTTGGTTCTTATTGCGTGGACGGGGTGTGAGGGATGAGTTGCGGGAGATGTGGGAGACACGGTTAAGGGCGTTCTCGACCACTGAGGGGGGGAAGTTACGGTCCTTGGAAAAACGAGGACAACTGAGATGTACGGGAGTGGAATGCCTCATCCTGGGAGCAGATGCGGCGGAGGCGAAGGAATTGGGAACAGGGGATAGCATTTTTGCAGGAAGGTGGGTGGGAGGAGGAGTATTCTAGGTAGCTGTTGGAGTCGGTGGGCTTGAAATGAATATCGGTTGGCCTGCTGTGTTCATCCAGCCCTGCACCTTGTTGTCATAGAATAGGCTGGGATTGTTTTCTTTAGAACAGAGGCTGAGGGATGACTTAAATCAGGTGCCTAGTTATGAGTGGCCTAAACTGAGTAGGCAGCAAAAAACCTATTGTCCCTCGCGAAGACATCAATTACTTGGGGGACACAGATGTAAGGCCATTGGTAGAATGGTCAGAGGAGACATGGTGGGTGTCTGGAATTGATTGCCCAGTATGGTGACTGAGGTGGGAATCCTAATTTTGAAGAAACCTAGTTTTGCAACTGAAATACTGTAACCATCAAGGTTACTGGCAGGGTTCTGTTAAGAGGGATTAAAATGGGTGGCGAGTTTTAAAAAAAATCTCCTCTTTTTCAGCCAGAATTGTCACCAGCTAATGACCTCTTTCTGTGCAGTAAATTTTATATGTTCTTTAGAAACTGGCCATAATTGGGCCCCTTGTCTGATTAAGCTCCAAATAGGGTCAAAACCTATCCCCAAAAGCCACCAGCAATCAGAGGTTCACAGCTCTGCAATATCAGCAACACTATCAGGAGCAGTCAATATCAGCAATATAGGAGGAACTGCAGGAGGGATCAGCAATGGGTCCATAGATTGAGGTGTGTGTGGGTGGGATGGGGTTCACTGTCCAGAAGTCTGAATTCCGACAGAGCGCTTCCTTCCAAATAACGGGTTCCTCAATTGGTCACAGGCTGCATATGAATATTTTAAGTTAATAATTGTATTGAAATGGAACTCTTGATTTCTCATTTAGTAGTACAGACATGTGGAGGTTATGGACTAGAGGGCGTCAGCATAGCTGCAAGTAATCTTCACCATAGTAACAGTCCTGTCTGTAGCAGTCATGGTCACATCTTCCCTCAGTTGTAATAATTACATCTCTTTCAAGGCCAAGATTGAGTTCATCTCACACATTATGCGAGGTGCTGCCAATGGATGCCCATGTGGTTAAGCGTGGGGCTACTTACCAACTCATTCCTACCTAATTTCTGCTCATTAACTGTTTGCAGGCAACCAAGGTATCCACCATAAGCAGGCAGCTGTTTCATAATTGCATGCTGACTCGGGCCCAATAATGCCATTAGGTGCAATATTAACACTCCTGACTAAAAGTGATTGGGATTGGGCTCAGTGGTATTTAAAATAATTCAGATCAGAGGGCTTTGTTGTGCTTTTTGGATTTCCGGTGCATATTTGAGCCTGCAAATAGCTTATTTTTTTGGCCTTTGTTAAACTGTTGGATTATATTAGGACCAGCAGTAATTGGGACATATATCTTGATCTGAATCCAGTTTCTAAAGTTTACACTCAGACTATTGGGAGTGGTATACATATCAGGAATTCAGATATGGAAATAAGCATTTGGAAGATTTTTATGCCATTGATTTTAATAGGGTATATCCTGCAGTGCCTGCTTGTGAGAAATTTTCTGACTATGAAAAGTTTCTATGAACCTGAAGCTCAAGAGAGACAAGCAACTTTTGAGGGCAGAAAACAGAATGATTTATTAGTGTTTCAGAGATAGTAGGAACTGCAGATGCTGGAGAATCTGAGATAACAAGGTGTAGAGCTGGATGAACACAGCAGGCCAAGCAGCATCAGAGGAGCAGGAAAGCTGACGTTTCGGGCCTAGACCCTCCTTCAGAAATGGGGGAGGGGAAGGGGGTTCTGAAATAAATAGGAAGAGGGGGGAGGCGGATAGGAGATAGATAAAAGAGAAGATAGGTGGAGAGGAGACAGACAGGTCAAAGAGGCGGGGATGGAGCCAGTAAAGGTGAGTGTATGTAGGGAGTTAGGGAGGACAGACAGGTCAAGGGGGTGGGATGAGGCTAGCAGGTAGGAGATGGAGGTGGGAGGAGGGGATAGGTGGGAGGAAGGACAAGTTAGGGAGGCAGGGACAAACTGGGCTGGCTTTGGGATGTGGTGGGGGAGGGGAGATTTTGAAGCTTGTGAAGTCCACAATGATACCATTGGACTGCAGGGTTCCCAAGCGGAATATAAGGTGCTGTTCCTGCAACCTTCGGGTGGCATCGTTGTGGCACTGCAGAAGGCCCAGGATGGACATGTCTGAGGAATGGGAGGGGGAGTTGAAATGGTTCACGACTAGGAGGTGCAGTTGTTTGTTGCGAACCGAGCGTAGGTGACTGCTTTGCCGAACGGTGGAATCAAACCCAGGTCTCTGTCGCTGTGAGGCAGCAGTGCTCACCGCAGCCACTGTGGTGCCCCCAACTGCTTTTTCCTTCAGTGAACACAAGTTAAAGCTAAAGCCATAAATATAATACCGTAACATTATATAGTTGTGCAATCTGCAAAAATTTTACAAACTCACAGATATCATTGTGAAGCTTGTCCATTAATTCATCAAAGACAATACAATCTTCAAAACCCTTAAAGAGTGGAGAAACAAAAACATTTTTTGTGTGCATTATTGTGACTCAATCACACCCAACAAAGAAAATTCAGTGCCAGATTGTTTTTTTAGTACTTGGATATAAAGGATTACAAAATAGGTGAGAAACAACTCGTTCCATTTCAGGTGTGTGTTCCAAATCAGCTCGGCTTTCTGTGCACTGAAAGTGCAAAATGAAGATCTATCGTAGAGTTAACAAATCTCCGGTATCTCCTAGCCAAACTGCAATTAAAGACTATTTTGAATGTAAAAAAAAATGCTCATCTCTAAGTTTGTACAGGGAGATTTGAAATTTGTTTATTAAATTAGAATTTATCTGATCCCTTGATCATTCATTTCAGAGGCTTGGTAGAAAAGATAAGGCATCTGCCTATTGAGCATTCACAGGGAACAATGCGTCACTGAAACTGTCAAGCTGTGCTATATATCACATGACACTCAGCCAGAGTCAAGAAAGGGAATTAATATTAATTTAATAGGTGTAATCATTCATTTACTTATATTCATTTTATTGATCCAGTGCAGTAATATCATGATAAAATTGCAATGGTCTTCAAAATCAGCGATAAAATGTGAGTAAAAAGCTGACAGACTTGTAAGTGACAGGAGATCATAAAATCCAGTGGGTGGCTTCCTCATTACCAACCTCCCAGTCTGAAATTTCATGACAAGTGAATGAGTTGCAGGCAGCTGGGCTTCATCTATTATTAGTGGTATTTTGCCTGTGATGGGTGGACCAAGGAATGAATTTACCTAGGCTCCTCAGCATGGTCGGTCTACATGGAGTCTTAGCAGTGCCAACACTCCCAACTGCCACAATGGAACCGTCCAGCTGGCTGGAAAAACTCTCAAGATGGAATCTCTACCAATATAGGGCAGGATGTATTTCCTTAAGGCATTTAACACTACTGCCAGTGTTAGGTTATTGTGGGGCAGCCACTGGATTGTGGGATGGCTCCCTTTCTGACATTTTACCAACAAGTGTAGGATTTATTAAGGTTCAAAGAAAATTATGTGATATAAAGGAAAAGTACTCAACGTATTGATGTAAACTCATCTAGCAAAAGAGAGTCAATTTCAAAATAAAAAGCAAGTTTATAGCACCTTAGTTTGTGGGAGTTGGTGGACATCAATACAATCCATAGCAACCACATCAGTAGTAAATATCTGCAGCTTGAGAAACTTATGACTCAGAGTAGATGAGTCTTTGACATCAGAATTTTCTTATTTATGCTAAAATTACCATTTGCACCATTAAAATGAAACTAAACTCAAAGCTGTAAACTTTTACAGTGAGCACATTCTGTAAAATGAAAACCCTCACCCCACCATTAGCTCATGGTCAGAATCAGGATGGTGTGATGACAAAAGAGGCAGATACGGGGATCCAAAAGGTAGGAATGGAGAAACCTCAGTTCTTGCAGTGTGGACAAACAAAGTGAATAGCACTAGCCATTCATACAAATGCAGTTATAGTAAGTACTGTATAATTATGGCAATAGATACAATTGTCTGCAGCAAAAATGAGCCCAAAAGGCTGAGTTGCCTGCCCCAGGGCCAAGGTTAAGAACATCTCATCCTGGATAGAGAGGAATTTGAGTGGAAGGGAAAGGCAATTGGCATAGGGTAAATAAAATCAGCATGGCTCCTAGATTGGTGAGGGAGTAATGGGATTCTCAATCATGGGGCAGTGACTAAGTATTGGGGGAAGAGGGAGCTGTACATTTGGGATGTCGTTCGCCTGAAGGCAAGAGGGACTAGCTTGGACCAGTGCTCCTGTGAATCATATATTTATGGCTGTAGAGAGAACCTTAAACTAAATAGTGAGGGCTGGTAGGATTCATGTGGGGAGTTAAAGAGAAAGGGCATGGGAAAATTGCAGCGTAGGAATATGGGTAATGGTGCCCACAGTCTGGCAAAAGAGGACAGAGCACATACAGGTAAGAGTGCGGCAGAAAGAGGTATGAGTAGAGTAGGGAAAATGGTTTTAAAAAAAGAGGGGAAGGAAGATTGAGGTGAATAAAGATTTAGAAATCCAAAAGGTAAGTTTTGCTGCAATTGAAAAACATATCAAAGTAGGTAAGGACATGCTGAATAGAACCACAATGGACGGAAAGTTTACAACAATAGTGCATCAGACAGCAAAGCCCATGCAGGAATAGGTGTTAAAGATTTGAAGTCACTTTATCTGAATGCATGCGGCATCCACAATAAGAGAGATGGACTAATGGCACAAATGGAGATAAATGGTTTTGATTCAATAGCTATTACAGAGACATGGTTGCAAGGTTAAAAGATAGGTGTTATTCACTTCATGTCTCTTATTGGTAATGTTTAACTACTGCTGTAACATGAAAATAGTTAATATTCATGTTCAACTTGTGTGTACTCATCCAAAGATCACAAAGTTAACTTGCAGGTACGTCAAGCAATTAGGAAGGCAAATAGCATGTTTACCTTTATTGCAAGGAGGTTGGGGTACACGGAAAAAGAGGATTTTTTACAATTGGGCAGGGCATGGAGTCCAGATATTTAAGTCTTCATATTTAAGAAAGGTTATACTTGCAATGGAGTCAGATCAGTGAAGGGTTTGACCTTTAGGTTTGAAATGAAGATACATTTCTTCACTAATGCATTGTGAAGCTTTTGAATTCTCAGCCCCAAAAACAGTTATGGATATGCCATTGTTGAATATATTTAGGGATGAGAGAGATAGATTTTTACTCTGAGATAACAAGGTGTAGAGCTGGATGAACACAGCAGGCCAAGCAGCATCATAGATTTTTACTCTGTCAGGGAATTAAGGGATGTAGGGAGTCGGCAGTAAAGTGGAATTGAAGCTCAAAATTAGCCATTGATTAGTGCAGCATGTGTGAGGGACATTATGGAATTCTCCTGATCTTATCTCTTAAGTTCTTATGTTTCTGGGCCCCATTGTCCACGTGAGAAAGAGCACAGTGAGGTCCCAAAAACAGCAAAGTTAATTAAGGAGAAGATACCAGCCCGGACACCACTTCTTCTTTCAGGATAGTGCCATAGAATCTTTTATGTCAACCTATGAAGGGAGATGGAATATCGGATTCTAGGGTTCTGGAGATTCTGAAATTTAGACTTTATGCTCATTCTTGCAGTGTGACTTGAATCTATAACTTCCTAACAGAGATGGGAAAGTGCTTTAATTGAGCCATGGCTAGCAAAATAAATAATGAGGGGCCTAATGCACACTAACGTATAAACTGGCTGCAATGTTTAGCTAATAGCTGTTCAACAGCTGAAGAAGTGTCTGTTGTAATAGTTGAAGGGAATTTGAATCTGAAGCACATGTGACTCTGCTTGATTTTAGCATAAATAAGACAATTCTAATGTCAAAGACTCATCTTTAACTCGTGTCTTGTAATGAGTGAATAATTCGATAATGGTTCTGGCAGAAAATTCTAATGCTGTAAAGCACTTCACAAATGTTCACAACTTACTGCATTCATGCCTTGGCCATAAAATGGAACAACAGCATGTGCTGCATCTCCCATTAACACACACTTGGAACCGATATGGTAGGAGGAACACTTGACTGAAATCATAGCCTGGGCTGGCAAACGGAAATAATCCTGCATCAAAGCCTCACTAAAAAATAAATCAAAGTCATTTTTAAGTAAATCACAATTGTTTAAAAAAGTGAACGTAAGAGTATTTAGGAACTGAGAAATTCAATAAAGTCAATCTGCTTTCAATTATTCAAACCCAAACACCCATCTTCTCATTGCATCCATCAACTTGATGCCTTTCAAGAAATGCAATCAAATTGTTTCATGAATTCATTTGTTCTGTCAGTTTCAATTACTTGCACTGATCTTAGTGCACACTCAATAACCATTGGGTGAAAACATTCCCCTTGACTTCTAATGGTTTCTCTTGGTGATATTAAAAAACAGATTCACAGTCTTTTGGGATCTAGATGTAAGGTATCTGCAACGCTAAAAATATATATTTTAAAACTTCAAGATGTAGTCACTTGACTTGATGGAGCTTTGTTTTACTCACAATTCAACGTGTATTGAACACTCTCTATGACAATGACCAAATAGTCTAAAATGGCTTTTTATTAAACTTACAATAAAGATGAGCATACAACAAGAAAAAAAGATTTACACCAAGAGTCAAAAAGAGTAGATAGAGCAGATAAAAGTGCAGCGCAGGAAGAATACAATTGGAAAAGCACAAGGATTTTAGCACAGAGCAAAAAGAGTTGGAGCAGAAGAAAGACAAAATGGCAGTCAAGCCAGGATAAGGTTCCATTTACCCCTGAATTAGGCAGAATGTGCAGCAAGAGGACTTAATCTGGAGCTGTATTCCATGATATTTGGAAGTGATATTATTCCACATTGATTGTATTGCTGTTCATAAATTCTATCATAAATGTATGTCATGAGCAGGATCAATAAACAAGCCATTGAAAAATAATCTTGACTAAAATAAGAACCTTACACTCCTATTAGAGGTATGGAATCTGGAAAGCATTTCTTGAAAAAGTGCAGCACTTCATCGCCTGTGGTAAGCTTCTCAAATTCTTCAAAAGGCATGAAGAGAGTACAGGTAAATGACTTGTCCTTTCCAAGTTGCAAACAATATGCAAAAAAAAAAATGTGGTTTAGAAATGAATAGTAACAAATTCAAACAAATTATACAGCAGCTTTAGCCAGTGTATAATCACATTATGATACTGCATTATGAAATAATAAACTTCCACAATCCCCAGCAGGAATTTCAACACTTCTTTCCAATAAGCCCAAGTTATATACAGTCAATAACGTATTAGACAAATCGTTTTAACATTTTTTACAACCATGTACTAACATTAGCCTTAATGAATAGATTCTTAATAACAGCAGAAGTTTAAATCCCGTGTACTCACTGGAGAACAAGCTATCTGCACAGATAGCAGCTATTAGAGCTATAGATAAAGCAAACTAGAAACTGATCCTTGAAGTCAAGCCAGCTATATTCAGAACAGTCCATTTTATAAAGGTCTCAAACAGTCATTACAGTCCTTAGTTACATACACAAAGTGCCTAAGGGTTCTTGCGGTGCAGTGGTAGTGTCCCGATCTCTGAGCCAGGAATCCCGTGTTCAAGTCCCACCTCCTCCATACGTGTGTGATAACATCTCTGAACAGGCTGATTAGAAAATATCTGTACAAAGTACCTAATGCTTGGTTTAAGCATAGATGCAAAACACTTCTTTCTCAGTCCTTACCAATTAAGACTGTTGTGGACCAGAGCAAACCCCTCAAAATATTCAGAAGATAGTCTAGACCCTAACTTTTTCTTATTTCAAAGTGAGTGTAAGGTGTTGCATTCCAGATATAATTCAATTGGTCAAACCATTTGATTTTAAGCAAAACATAATTTATTCATAAACTATAGTTAAAATACAACAAAAAAAATTGCTTACCTGAAACTCTATCAAAATGTTAAACGCAATAGTAGATACAGCAACTATTATTAACTGTTCCAATATAGTAACATCCCATACACAATCTCTTGACACAGGCAAATTCAGTAAAATAATTTGTCTGACATGCAACTCCAGCAGCAGGAAGAGAACCCCTAGCTTTTAGCTGTAACTGAGAGAGGTAAAAAAAAAACAGCTTCAACCTCGTCAAGACACCAGCACCAACTGCTACTACAAAACTAAGAAACTAAAAATCCTGATTTTGTGGAAGCTTGACCACACCCATTCAGGCTGCTTCTATTGTTCCAACATTTTAAAAAAAAACGCAAGGCCTCACAAACTATTTACTGTAGTGTGACTGTGCAGACTGCTCAACACTTCTGCCTTAAAACGTTTCATCAAAAAAAACTGGACAAAATACACCTTTGAATGCCATAGTATCAGCACAAGGCCTCGAGGCATTTTGGAACCTGCTTTATGCCATAGAAGCTGCTGTCTTCTCTTGACAACTCAAGTTACAATGGGAGAATGGTGGAATCTTGTGAAATTTCAGGGTTATCAAACCAATCAAGAAACATCAGGAACACTTATAAAATATTAAAATATGTGGCCAACTTCATCGAATGCAGGCCAAAGAAGGTATACTGCATTGTACACTGGTTGGACTGTAGTTTCATTTAGAATTATTGAGAAAAGATACGTTGTTTATCTATAAACATGGGGATTGGAAATATATGCAAAGCCTGAAGAACTGTGCGCTTTTCAGCCTAGAAAGGATACATCTGAGGGAGTACTCTAACAGAGATAAACATAATTATTAAAGAATAGAATACATATCCGGCATGTTATTTCAAATTAAATTACAAATGTTAAAACACAGAGACAGATAGCCACACCAAATCAGCTTTTCTACCTCTGTACTGACAACACAGTAAAATTAAAACCTTTGAAGACCTTCAACAGTTACTCCAATGGTTCCTAAACAGACTAGAATTAATTTTAGAGATAGTAGGAACTGCAGATGCTGGAGAATCCGAGACAACAAGGTGCAGGGCTGGATGAACACAGCAGGCCAAGCAGCATCATAGGAGCAGAGAGGCTGACGTTTCGGGCCTAGACCCTTCATCAGAAAAGGGGGAGGGGAAGGGGGTTTTGAAATAAATAGGGAGAGAGTGGGAGGCGGATAGAGGAGAGGATAGGTGGAGAGGAAACAAACAGGTCGAAGAGGCGGGGATGGAGCCAGGAAAGGTGAGTGTAGGTGGGGAGTTAGGAAGGGGATAGGTCAGTCCAGGGAGGACGGACAGGTCAAGGGGGCGGGATGAGGTTGGTCGGTAGGAGATGGGGGTGCGGCTTGAGGTGGGAGGAGGGGATAGGTGGGAGGAAGAACAGGTTAGGGAGGCAGGGACGAGCTGGACTGGTTTTGGGATGCGGTAGGGGGAGGGGAGATTTTGAAACTTGTGAAATCCACATTGATATCATTGGGCTGCAGGGTTCCCAAGCGGAATATGAGTTGCTGTTCCTGCAACCTTCGGGTGGCATCGTTGTGGCACTGCAGGAGGCCCAGGATGGACATGTCGTCTGAGGAATGGGAGGGAGAGTTGAAATGGTTCGCGACTGGGAGGTGCAGTTGTTTATTGCGAACCGAGCGTAGGTGTTCTGCAAAGCGGTCCCCGAGTCTCCGCTTGGTTTCCCCGATGTAGAGGAAGCCACACCGGGTACAGCGGATGCAGTATACCACATTGGCAGATGTGCAGGTGAACATCTGCTTGATGTGGAAAGTCTTCTTGGGGCCTGGGATGGAGGTGAGGGAGGAGGTATGGGGGCAGGTGTAGCACTTCCTGCGGTTGCAGGGAAAAGTGCCGGGTGTGGTGGAGCTGGAGGGGAGTGTGGAGCGGACAAGGGAGTCACGGAGAGAGTTTTCCCTCCGAAACTGGTTTTGTGTCTTAATCAAAAAAGATGTAATTTATTAAATACGGAGTAACTTTAGCAGAAAAAATAACAATGTAATCTAATTAACATCTATTCTTTAAAATGAAATATTTGGCTTCAGATCCTATTCACACAAAATACAGACAGACAAGCCAGCAAACACTGTTAAGGGATAAATAAAAGAAACTAACAAAACTGGCCAGATTACTTAAATGGTTTTCACAATGTGTTATTTCACAGGACTCCTTGGCTGCTTTTCTGGAAATGTCGATCAGAGTCACCTTTTCAGTTCTCTCAGGTATAGCTACTTTTAACTCTGCTTTCTAGGCTTTGGGCTTCTGAAAGTTAATAAGGGAGGTTAGGCAGGGAGCTTTTAAATCTTCATGCTGTATCATCAGCAGCTAAATGCCTCTCCCCAAAAAACACAGTTTAAAAAAAAGCTCAACTCTCGTCCTGCCCTGTGAGACTGACCATCTTTTCCAGAGACCTCAATTAACATTCAACATCTGCCAACTGCTTGAATATAGAGTCTCTTTCAGACTTGCTGGAACCAATTCCCAGTTTCTGACCTGTTTAACGGCCAACCTACTATCTGTTTAAACACAAAGCTCCACCCAGGGTTGCTGGTGTTGGTACAAACCTTTTTCATCAAAAATCAGCCTGCAATTAACCTCCAGGCCTGGCCTCACAAACAAACAAAAGCTTTTTTTGGTCTTTTTTTTCCCTTTTACTGCTAGCAGTTTCCCGAAGTCTATAAGTTAGTTTCTGCTCACAGCTCCAAACCAAAATTGATAAAAGAATAAAAAATTTTTAAAAAATGAAAATCATCAAGAGTAGAATGAGAGTTGCATCCAGAAATGGAGGATTCTCCTGATTCCCTAATGCAAATTTTATGAAATAATGAGAAAGAGTGCTGTTTGGTTGGCAAGTGGGCTTCAATTGGTCAGTAATTGTTATGGAGATTACAATACGGACCCAAAGCCCCATTCAAGCCCTTGGGTAATTCAAGCATGTTGCAAAGCTTGAACGTACTTTTTCTTTGCAATTTATGAACATACACTGTTTCTAGCAAGTGTCAATAAAACATGCCATGAGTACAACTGATTGTTTTAATTTGTTCATGAGATTTGGGTACCACTGCTTAGGATAAAAAAATACACCATCAAAGTTTAAACATTTCAACAGTTAATCAATAAAGGAATCAAAGGACTTGGTAACTGTACTGCTTACATCAATTTTTTGGTTGTTTTTAGTAAAACCTGTGGGGAAAAAAACGTTCATACTATTTCAGCTGTTTAATTGGCTGCAAAAAGAAAATCTTGCTATAATTTTGACCAAGAGTGAATTTGCCAAGGAAAAGTGACTTATTTGAGCCATACTGTGGGCCAAAGCCAAGCATCACCTAGATTACAGAACAGATAATCTGCGATTTTCCTGTGCCTAATGCATGTGGCAAATCGGTGACAATTGGAGTTTAATTTGGACAAATGTGAGGTATTGCATTTTGGTAAAACAAACAAAGACAAGACTTCTACAATTGAAAGTAGGGTCTTGGGCAATGTTGTAGAACAGAGAGTCCTAGGGGGTCAGGTACATAATTTTTTGAAGTTTGCATTACATATAGATAGGGTAGATTTAAGGCATTTAGCACACTTGCCTTCATTGCACCGACCTTGGAGTATAGGAGCTGGGACATTATGCTGAGGTTGTACAGGATGCTGTTGACGCCTTTTCTGGCGTACTGTGTCCAAATTCTGGTCTCCCTATTACAGGGATGATATTAGTAAGCTGGAGGGGATTCAGAAGAAATTTACCAGGATGTCGCCAGGAATGGAGGGTGTGAGTTATAAGGAAAGGCTGGATAAGCTGGGACTTTTCTCACTGGAGTATAGCAGGTTGAGAGGTGACCTTATTGAGATTTATAAAATAATGAAGAGTACAGATAAGGTGAATTGCAGAGAAAGCAAGAACCGCAGATGCTGGAGTCAGAGATAACAAAGTGTGGAGCTGGAGGAACACAGCAGGCCAAGCAGCATCAGAGG